ATCTGGTAGCGGTATCGGAACTCGAAGATCTGCAATGGAAGGATCGCTCCGGGGAAGAGGACGAGAGGGAGGGAAAAAAGCGGGAGCTCGACAACGTCGTCTGACTTCAGCGAGCCAGCGTAGTGCCGCTCGGAGAACGACAACGCCGAGCACCGGAGAGCATTGGGCTTACGGCGGGGGGGGGGGGAGGGGGGGGGGGGGGGGGGGTTTTAAATATTATTACATGTTTTCAAAAATTAAACCACCAAACGCAGTTTCAGTTTTTTTTTAAATTGAAATCAATCTTTGAATAAAACTACTAAACGCATTTTCAGAAATAATTTCAAAATGAAAATGAAAACGTTTTCATTTTCATTTTTATACAGAAAATAAAATCATTTTCAGAAATTTGTTGTGGGGTGTGTACAAAGAGGAAACGAAAAAATAATTTGCTTATTTGTTTTTTTTTTTTCAATCGTCCTTTTTAATTATTTACTAATTTAGAGTGTGTTTATAACTTTTAGAGGTGTATATATAATTTCCCTTAAAGTAAATAAACATATTTACTAATAAATATAGATATTTTATTTACATGAAGTAATAAAGTATTTATATAATATAAATTATTTACACCAAATATTTATCAATAAAAAGGACGGATAAGCTAGCAACTTCTTTTTCTTTTTTTCTTTTCTTTTCTTCTTCCTTTTCTTTAAATAAACGGTGTTTTTTGTCCGGTCCTTCCTTCTGTCATTTGTTTGCTCATTAGTCCATATCTTTCCTTATAGTTCGATAAGTCCATATGTCTCCTTATTCTTGGGACACGTATATATATAATGTTTTTTTCTTTCCTTTTATTTTTATTTTTTTTGTTGTATGTGTTTGAATCTTATTGAATAGTGTCTTGATCCGTTTTCTTTCTTTCTTGTTTACTGTTTTATTCATAATCGTAAAAATACACATGTGCTAAACCGTTATATAAAAAACAATTCTGCTATTTTTTTTATTATCTACCTTATAAAATATATATAAATTAATGAGATTAAATTTTTATCACGTTATATTATTAAATTTGTATATTTAATAGTAACATCTAATAAAAATGTAATCGTTGAAAATTCATTTATATATATGAGAGAAAAATAGAAAAAAAATACGTAAAGTGAAAGTGCTTAATTGATTCACGCTTTATATTTCTACTTTTTTTATTTTGAAAAATATATGAATGAAGAATTTGGATTTTAACCTACAACAATGTTATTATACATATTTTTCCTATGTTCTTTTATGCATTGTATTTTGCGTTATTTTGTCCATTTTCTAATTTTGTTCATTTATTTCTATTGTTTTTTCTATCATCATTAATTGTTATGTTACACTTCAAGTTGTTCTTTTCTTACATAATAGATTCAGAATCTTCAGTTTTGGCAAAATGTATTTTGAACATAAGATTCATACATGAAAGATAAAAATTATCATTTTTCAAACCATGTCGACTGCCAATTTAATAACATTCATTAATTATTAAGCCTCAAATATGATGATATATCAATGTGTTAGTATGATAATGCTAAAACGTGCACCGTTTAAACAAATTGTTATTTTTTAACATATAGTTAAGAACATCTCACATACGATGCCAAATAAGTATACTAATACTAAATGTTAGCTTTTGATTATTATTAATTGATATGTTTATTTGTTTATTAATCATTACAATATTTATATTTTTTAAATAAACTATGTACTTTTATGAATCTTTTTTTTTTATGAATCACAAATATACTATGTACTTTTTGTAGAGAGACTCTTTAACGTTGGAATTCATCCCTATTCTTTTGAAAAAAGTAGACTCTTTAATGTTGGAATTCATCCCTATTTCTTTGAAAAAAGTAGGGTGTAATAATTTTTATAAATGAATGAATTTTTTTAAAAGGGTTGCATTTGGAGTAATATTTTTTTTTAAATATTTTCGTCTCTAAAAGTAATTTAATTAATAAGTAATTCAGTAATAAAAAATTGTATTAAAAAGAAGTGTTTGAAAAAAATAATGAGACTGTCAATAGATGCACTAAAAAAATCCACTATTATTTCCTTGTAAGAGTGCGTAAATATTATATTCTTTATGTAGTTCTATTTTAAAATTAGTTTAGTATCAGTAATTAAGATGTAAAAAACTTATTTAATGAGTTTTGACGTTTTATTTTTTATTTTCAAAACTGTAATAAAATCATTTGTAAAAAGTTGCATCTAACACCCGTATTACTCTCAACTTTTTTTTTTCTACCATTTTTTAAAGCTTGATATGTGCCATATTGATCTCATAATATTGGTTATCAATCAGCACGTGCCCCTATTACTAGTACTTAAAAATGTTTCAAAAAATACTCTATTTACTATAATTACTGTTATTAAATTCAAAAAGAGCCCCTTTGAAAAAAATCGAAAAGAGCCCAAGGACAAATCTTGAAGACAAAAAAATTAGAGAAGCCCGTTTGGTTAGAAGATTCGTTCTCTGATTTGAATAATGGTTTATGGTTCGCTACAGTATTTTTCCTCACAAAAAACACACGTAAATAAAAAATGATTCTAATATCATGATTTTACTCTATGAACCAAACGGGTTAATGCCACAAATTTTTTATATATTTTCATATGTACGTCCAATTCCTTTGTGATTCAGACTTGTGTAAAATTTTGTCGAATTTTGATTAATTCATTTTGTGTGAACAAATTTGAAGCTCCAATATTACCCATATTAGACTTTCCAAAATATTTTAAGCAATCTCCTAGACTAAGCGAACAAAATAGAGGCTACTCATGGTAGCCGCTGTGTGGGGTGCCTGTAGTCGTTGTCGGTGCCTCAAGTGGTTGACAACGACCGTGCTTCTTAATTATCAAAAAATAAAAAATAAAAAATAAATAAAAATAAAAACACGACCGTGCTTCTCCTAACATGACGAAGTTTCTCAATCTCGTTCGCTTCACGAATTCGAGTTAAAATATGATATTTTTTGAAAACTTTTAACTGTACAAAAAAAAGTTAGATGTGACATTTTTTAAGAACTTTTAACTGTAGAAACTTATAATTGAAAATTCGAATCAGTGAAATAAACAAGACCTAAAATATCATGAGCTAAGCTTATTGCGAGCACAATCGTCACACACTCCACAAGTTCAAGCAAGGACTTCCTTTGTATTTGGTCTCATGAAGCTAAAATGTGCATTTCTGGCACTAAAATATGCAATAGAAATAACAAGTAATGCAAAAGAGAATGAATTGCAAGATTTAGAAGAAAGCTTTTGAGGGCTTCTTGGCATCAAACTTCTTGCTTTGGGCGTTACTCAGTCTTGCCAACCTTTTGTTCCCCTCGGTTATTATATGAAATGTGATCAAGAGAGGAAAAGGGGAAAAGAAAAACATTTTATTCATTGGATTCTATTTTTGGCCAACGCACAAGTGTATACATTCATCCGTTTCCTTCTTCAGATTGAGAATCATTTTGCGAGGAAGGTAGATTTCTACTAGGACATGTTCTAATGTTGTGTCCAATTTCCCGGCACAACCGGCACTTGTATTTTTTGCTTCCAGAAGTCAGAGAGCCTTTCTTTATATCACTACTACTCAGCTTTTCACCAAAAAGTTTGGGGCAAGTCCTGCGATTATGGCCTCTTTGACGACATATCCTGCACTGATTATGTTTCCGGCCTGTGTTTTTGTGATCGCTCAATCTTGTCTGTGGACAAGTTCTCCTGTTATGGCCCATTCCTCCACACACCCGACATCTGAACTTTCTACCAATTAAACTTTCTCTCAGTTCAGGACAGTAGTGTCTTCGATGCCCCTCACGCCCACAGTTTCTGCAGTAGAATTTCACTCCTGCATCAAAAAACACGAGTTTCGTCTGTGTCAAGTTGTTTAATGTCATAACAGCGGTGAACACGTGTTATATGAATGGATCACTGATTTTGGTGAGACTGAGATTGGTCAAAGTTACAGTTAGCTAAAGAAACCTATAACGGGCGTATAGATTTAGCTAAAAGCTGTTAAGCAGAAACTTGTTATGAGACACTGACCTTTCATTGCAATGCTCCTCTTGCGGCGGTTTTCTGGGTCGCTAAAGAAAGCTTTTAAAGCTTCAGAAGCACGCCTTCTTGCTGCAGCGGTTCCTTTAGCTTTCTGCATTGCACGGAAATTATATTGATTATACCCTTTTTAGTAGTGGTTTCAACCATTTCCTATCAGGTTATAAGTCGGTACAATAACATGTAACATTATGTCTCAGTTCTAGCAATAACAGATCCCAAATAGTAGTGGTCGACTAAGCGCAATGTTCTAATTTGAAATGTGAACTAAAAGAAGAATTACGCTTCGTTTTTGAGAAATACCCAGTAACCGGCGTTCATTTGTCTGGTGGGTTAAGTTTTGAGCCCTATACCACCCAGCTGAACACCTCGGTTGACCCAACTTTCCACCACATACCAATGGTGTATATCAAATTCATGTTTTAGGAAGTTGGTATCTAGATATAGATCCAACCTCCCACACCGACATATTCTAGTTGTAATTCAATTAAGCACTGCATTCTAGCATTTTAACCTGCAGTAATAATAATAAGAAAGAGCTTTTGAGTTTAAGTATGCAGGCAACTTTTGCTTGACATCGTTAAGGATCATGAGGCCATCTATTCCAAAAACACGAAATACTTTTTAATTTTACCAAAAGAGAAAAAGAAAGTCTAGCTGCGAGACATGTCCAAAGATAATTGTCTACTGTATATCACTAACTAATTTAGTACACTAGGACAGGGGAATAGTCATACTAGAATAAATAAATAACTTCAAAAGTGATATTTGGATTCCAACCTTAATTGCAGCCACTCTTTGTGCATGGAGCTTGGGATCGCGGTGGATAATCTTCATTCTTTTACTGAATATACCAGTTTTGGCATTGAGACTCTGCAATCATCCAAACTAGACAAAGAAGATTAAATTCATGATATGGCCACTATCTATTCATTTTACTGAAACAAACATACAAGCAGGAAGACACGCAAACAATGTAGAGAGAACCGGCTACCACAAGGTATATGTCTATTTTCATCTCTCATCTCTCCTCTAGCCTAATTATTGCCTTGACGCAGAGTCTGAGAGGTGTGGGGTGTATGCTCTCCTCCTTCCTCATAGTGAAATTATGCGGCAGTTGAAAATGGGTGTAACACTCTCAGCGAAGGTAAACCATTACAATTCTTGTGGCTGCTTTATTGTCTTTCTTTATGTTTGTTGCTCTCGGTAGTAAAGGACTAGGATTTTAATCAGTAGCATTTGTAATCCATATCAACTAATTTCATGTGTTCGTAAGAAACATAAGAGTGATGCAGAAGACTAACTTTTAGAGATCTACTGATCTTTAATCCGACTTCAGGAGGCGGAGATTGGTAAACGCGCTTCGATTTTCTTGTCATGTCCAGCTTTATGTCCAAATTGTCAACTTCATCATCCTCCTCCATTTTGAGAGGAGAACTGGGGGAAAAAAAAAAAAGAACCAACCTATTTTAGCATTTTAAGACCCCTTTTAATCATCAACAAACTTATCATTAAAACAAAGAAGGAACATAACAGCAAAAGAAGTGATGGAACTAGGCTATTAAGAAATTACATTGAGCGGGCTTTCTCCCATGGTCTCTCATCAATTGACTCTTCCCATATGACACATTCTCCCAAGCACTGACGACAAGTCATTATACCCTAATTGCCAAAAGAAAAAAAAAAAAAGTTGCTTAAGAAAATTATAATCTACAAAATTCTTGTTCCTTCACAAGCACTATGGAAAAATCTCGTAGAAAAAGAAGAAAAAAAAAACCCCCAACAAATTACTTAATGAAGAAGTCCAAAGTTAAAAAAGAAAGAAAGAAATGAGACAGTACCATTTATGTACACAGTATACCTTTCCCTTACATTTTGAACAGTCTGGTCTGGACCTTTCAATACCACACTCTAAACAAGGAGTATAACCTCTTCCCCGGCAAGTTGGGCAAGGCAGTTCTCTAATATACTGGCCATTTGGACCAAACCATGATCTTGGTTTGTCTGTCCCAAAATTAGCATTCCTAAACAACAATTTTCACTGTGTGATACTAAAAGGCAACACTTGCTAGTGCAGATTAAAGACACAAAATTAGCAAATGAAAACGCACGACATGTAGTAGCAAGTAAAGAAAAGAAGAAGAAGAAAAAGTAACATAATTAAGCATCAAAAGCATTGAAGACCTTGGCTTTAGATTAACCTCGAGACCAAATAACTCCTCGGAAGGATCATATCCCAACTGCCATTACATAACCCAACTTTCAGATATGTATATAAAACAAACAAAAAGATTTGCAAACCAAAATTAGAAAGAAATGTTAAGTGGGCGAGAGAGAGAGAGAGAGAGAGAGAGAGATTAGATATTTTGCCTGCGTTTGTTTGGGAGTGGAAGCAGAATCGTCGTTTAAGGATGAGGAAGCGACTGGTGGAATGAAACTCCCGCTGTTTCTCAACACCAAGAACCGCACGCTTCTCTGCCTCCAATGCGGTGCCAGCACGCGAAACGACGGTCCTAACGACGATGACATGAATGAAACGACGAGAAAAACAAAACAAAGGGAGAGATGGTTGAGCTGATGATGATTCGTTAAGCTGTTCGGCAACTTCGGATTCACTTCAAAAGCTGATTTCCCCTGAGAAAAAAAGAAAAAGGAAAAAGAAGCGAGAATTTGGACAGTTTTTTTATGTGTGGCTGTAAAGGACACAGGTCAGAGGCTTTCTGGGTTTTTTTGTTCGCTCTTTTGTTTCTATGTTCCCAAACTTCCGTGTGCTTTGTGATAAGCTTAAGCCTTGATCCCGCTTACACGAGTGAATCTTCACTAGTTCAGTCCTCCCCCCGCCATCCTTCTTTCTTTCTTTCTTTCTTTTTTTCTTCTTTCTCTCTCTCTCTCGTAAAAATAAAAGAAAAACGACATTATGAACTATTAGTTGAACAACACATGTGCAAAGCGATAATCTGTGTGTTAAGTTTTAATTATTAAGTTATTATAAAATCACATAACATCTGAATTTAAAATAAAAAAAGAACAAAAATAAACAAAAAAAATTTTAGAGCAAGAAGTCTAAAAAAGATAAAAAAGGACTAAAATGAATAAATAAATAAATTTTAAAGTATAAGAGACTAAAATTAAAAAAAATAAAATTTTAAAGCAAAAATAAAAAAATCAAAAGGAAACCAAAATAAAAAAAAAAAAACGAATAAGTTTTTAGTAAAAGTGACCAAAACGAAAAAAAATAAAATTTCAAGTTAAAAATAAAGAAAATAATAATTTTTAAGGTAAAATGGAGTAAACTAAAAAAAGATAAAGTTTCAAAGCAAAAAAAATAAGGAATCACGGTTTAATTAGAGGATTCAAACCACGAATCATGATTCGAATCAGGGAATGAATCCCTCTACTGAACATTTAAAAATTTAAAATTTGTTTTGTTAAAATTAAAAAAATAACCAAAATAAAAAAAAAAAAACGAATAAGTTTTTAGTAAAAGAGACCAAAACGAAAAAAAATAAAATTTCAAGTTAAAAATAAAGAAAATAATAATTTTTAAGGTAAAATGGAGTAAACTAAAAAAAGATAAAGTTTCAAAGCAAAAAAAATAAGGAATCACGGTTTAATTAGAGGATTCAAACCACGAATCATGATTCGAATCAGGGAATGAATCCCTCTACTGAACATTTAAAAATTTAAAATTTGTTTTGTTAAAATTAAAAAAATAAAAACTAAACTGCCAATTACAAAATGAATTAAGGATTTATGTTAATTAAATAAAAAAAGAAAAGGAAAAAATCGAAAAACAAAAAAAGAGGTAGCCGGGAAGGAAAAAGAGAGAGGTGAGTCAGAGAAATCAGAGTTGGGGAATAGGAAGGATGATGATACATTCGCTATCTTCTTCTTCTTCCTCACTCACCGTCCAAAACCCTAACCCTAGCCCTCTCCATTCCTTCACCAGAAACAATGGTTTCAGCTTCATGAATGTCTCTCGCTTCTCTCCGACGCCGTCTTCCGCCAGGAAGAAGCTTTCTCTCAAGTGCCGTCAGAGCGAGTACTTCGACAAGCAGCAGAAGTTCGCCACCTCCACTGTTCCCAACAACTCTTCCTTCTCTTCGCAAACTCCCCCTAGAGGTATCTCTTCCTCTCTCCCGCTTCCACGCATGTTTCTGTTTGGCTGCCGAGAAAATGTTTTTGAGGCTTTCCTTGGTTCTGTACAAATGTCGAAGAAGAATACTCGACATGAGATAAAGAAAAATTCCAACTTTATTTTCTTTTCTAGCGTACGATGGCGTTTGTTTTGATAAAAAGAGACGAATTTGAATTTCCACTCGGCTGCGCTCATTCAGTTGAATATTTGCTTCTGTTTGGCTGCCGAGAAAATTTCGATAAGAATACTCGACAAGTAGAAGGGATTGCCTCTTTAGTTTATTTGCAATTATAGAGTGGTTTCCACTTTCCATTTCCGAATAATTAAGAATTTCCCATGTGACTAAGCTTTGCAAAGAGCCTGAGCATATTTTTGTTTGTTCTTTTGTTTTTTTTTCCCCCTGAATTCAAGCTGGAGTTTGTTCAAATTTATGTGTTCATAACGTGGATAATGTAGTTATGAACTTTTATTTGGTTTGTTTGCATAGCTGGTCAATTTCCGCCTAAATATTTTGTGGGACACTCGATATATAAAGGAAAGGCCGCTCTTACGGTAGAGCCTAGAGCCCCAGAGTTCACAGCTCTAGATGTAAGTCTGATTGCTATATTTTTCTTTCTCTTAATCTCTGAGTAACATATAGATTATAGTTCCCCCTTGTCTTATTGATGCCAAACGGTGTTTAATGTTTATGGCATTTTGCTTGTCTATAATGGAATTGGGTATTGGTGACAGTCCGGGGCGTTCAAACTATCCAAGGAAGGTTTTGTACTGCTTCAGTTTGCTCCGGCTGCCGGTGTTCGTGTTTACGATTGGAGTAGAAAGCAGGTAGCGATATTAATGCTATTTTCTTGTTGTTTTAAAGAGAGTTTAGTATGTGAAGATGTTTAATCTTAACGAGTAGTTATGTTCCCTTGTGTTAATCTAATTTCTCTTTTCAATCAGAAGGCGGAACTTTTTATCCCCTTGGAAAAACAAAAACATGTTTTCCCAATATAGAATCTTTTATCTTTGAATCTTCTCCATTCATTTCATTTAGACTCCTGTTTAAAAGCTCAAAGGTTAGTTTCTGGTACCTTTACAATTGAATTGATGGGTGCTGGAATCGTGGTTGCTAGTATTTCTTTTTGGTTTTGTTTCAGTTTGATTTCTCAGTTATGTTTTTCTTTTACTTAATAATCTAATCTTCTTGTTTCTTTTTTATGGCTAGCGAATTTTCTTGTTTCATATGCATACATACTGTAAATCCTTCTTGTCGAAAAGCTGGATTGTGTTCATTGACACATTTTATGATGATTCATAGCCTAAGTGAAATATCTTGAATTGATGCTTGTTATTTGTTGTAAAGTAATATGTGTTATGATTGTTGATTTGACGTTTACAAAATGTGAAACTGATTTAATCCCTTAAATGTAGGTGTTCTCATTATCAGTAACAGAGATTGGTAGTCTAATTAGCCTCGGGGCTAGGGAATCCTGCGAGTTCTTTCATGATCCTTTTAAGGGAAAAAGGTTTTGTCTTCTTTATTTCTGTTAGTTACATTTTGGCATAAAGAATCGTAGATGGCTTTCAAGTTTATACAGATATTATTTTTGTCCCCTTTTGCCTGTTTATAGTTTAGAACAAAAGGAAGTAAATGTAGATATTATCATTTTTTGCAGCGAGGAAGGTCAGGTCAGGAAGGTTTTGAAGGTAGAGCCTCTTCCTGATGGATCTGGCCACTTCTTTAACCTCAGTAATCCCTCTCTCCCTCCCTCCTTAATGCTTGTTGGTGTTTGTTTTGGTTATCTTGTGTGTTTTTCAGTATGTATTGATACGCGACTGAGATGCATTGCTAGTGTCACATTACTTTGCTCCATTAATATGGTGCTGTTGCAACGTACTTATATTGGCATTTCCTTTGTTGCTCCTGGAATTGTAGAAATTGCTAGTATAAATACGGTTTGCTGGAACCTAACAATATAATATCATATGATGATAAATGGGCAGGATTTAGTGTACTAGCTATATAAGTGTGACTGTTTTCTAGTTAGATACTCACTAAGCTATTCCTTCCAGGTTACCCATTGTTTTTGTTTTCCTCAATCCATCGAGAGATATCTCTTGGTTGGAGTAGGAAGAAGTTGTATTTATGTGTGTTTTTATCTCTATTTATATTCTTTTGCTACTCTATGTATTACCCCTTTATACTTGCAAAGTAGTCGAGTTCACTTGCTTGACAACTTCTTTTCTGTTACTGACATTGTTATGACGTTTCTTGAAGGTGTTCAAAACAAACTTATTAACTTGGACGAGAATATTTACATCCCCGTCACCAAAGCAGAGTTTGCGGTTCTCAATTCAGCTTTCAACGTATGATTTGCTTCTCTTTCAGGCACATCAATTGAGATATCAGTGCATTGTTGATTCTTAACAGGATCATGTCTGGGATTTCATTGTTAATCAATTGGCTTCTGATATGTTCCATGTGCTAGTCATCTTGTTCTGACATAGTTTAGTCTCTCTTATGCAGTTTATCTTGCCATACCTTTTAGGTTGGCACGCCTTTGCAAATGCCATAAAACCAGAACATACAAACCGCGGGAATAATGCAAGTCCTAGATATGGGGGAGACGTTGAGTGGAACAGATAAGACTCATTTTCCATCGCCGGCAGTGGTGATCATTCGCAGTTGCGGGATCTACAGACATGGTGCTAAGAATGAGCTTTAAATTCGGCCTTTTCCATTGTATCTATTTTCCCCAAAATTTTGGCAATCTCTGTGTTGAGTGTTTTGTCGTGGAAGGTAGAATAGATATTTGAAGGAGTGATGTACCGTTTTGTTGTACCTTGTGTCTTTTTATGTGCTTATTTGCCACATCTGTGTTGGTGGGAGAAAAGAAAACACGACTAAAATTCATTTGTTTACTTTACCCTAAAATATGTTGTTTTTCCAAGAATTAACGAGTATCAAGTGGTAGTGTAGCAGACATTTCAGCAAGTTTCATGCTAAATAAGTAAACAACCTCACCAAGTTCTTGCCTTGATAGAGATGTACGGACTCTATCAATCAGTTGTTAAAGCAAGTTCTTGCCTCGGTTGTAACAAGCTGGCAAAACCCTGAAGTTTAGAATATTTATTTTTTTCATTGTTTGATGTAATTTATAACCAATTGGTGACCAGTTGACTTTTTCACTGATGAAGGGTCTGAATCTATAATTGAATTTGGGAATAGAATTCATAGGTTTAAACTTGAGTTGAAATTCTTGAGTTTGAAATTTAATTTTTCGTGAGAGGAAAGATTATAGTAAAAACATTGAATTGTTATGCGAATTTAAATGGTACGGGGCCAAAGATTTGTACAAGAAAAGAGTTGTCCATCCTCTAAAATCCAAGGTCCAATTCCAAATATCTGGGTACTTTGAGTCTTGACTCTGGGCTAACTGACACGAGTTTGCGGCGCTAACAATAAATCCTCTAAATATACAAAAACAGTTCCAATTCCATACCAAGCTAGGTTACTTTGACAATATTTTTGGGCTAAATTAAGAAAGAACTAAACTAATTTGCCGGCCATTAGTGATAAATCATATCACGAATTGCTACAATTTTTGACCCACCAGTACTATAATATATATGGATATCCTTACTGAATGAAAAATTAATTCAATCCTGCTGAATTTCCTATGATGAATATAGACCCGTTCATTTCACCAATTCGAGTTTTGCTACAGTAAAAAACTCTCAGAAACAGTCACATTTAATTTTTTTACTACAGTAAAAAGCTCTCACATAAAATCACATTTCAATTCAAATTAAAAACTCGAATTAGCAAACTAAACAGACAATAAATCTTTGTTTGTTTCCTAACTGTACGATTGAAACATATATGCACTGTAAATAAATGTTTAGTTTTTTCCCCTGAAAGCTGCTTCTCTTAGGGTCTGCAAATTAATGTCATGAGAAAGCAAAAAATATAATGGCTTAGGTACAACTAAACCTAATTTTGATTGATATATACCTAATTGTCTTCTTGTGATGATTAGTATGCACTTAGACTAATATTTGTATTAGTCCTTGTAGAAGTTAGATTTCAGTTCACATCAAGATAGCTTTAGTCACTCTAATTTTTAATTCCCTAGAATCCATGCTAGTGAATAGTGAATTCTAAGGGCCATTGCCGCTTTTTATCCAATGGTAATTTGGTACGTCCGTACCTGGTATACAAATAAAAATAGAAATATAACAATAACCAAAGAGCATAAACGTATACGCAATTACATTTGTCATTTATTTAATTACCATGCAGTTACGTATAGATTATTGTCCTAAGCTAGCACATCTTAACATCTTCTTAAAGAAATGTGTATTCACTATTAAGAAATATATATATATATATATATATATATTTGGGGGACATCATATGTTGGCAGTGTTCGAGGATTTGAAAGGGCATTGACTTACATGAATATTAAATATAGTACATGATTTAATATCGAATTAGTTTAGGGAAAAAAATGTACGCTTTACTTTCAAAGGTTGCTATAAGAAGATAACTTGCGGGCATGCGATGATAAATACAATATTTAACAACAATCTGTATATATAGTTCAGCTAATTGATTTTTTAAGTACCTTGTATTATATAGTTAAGGGTCAATGTGTTAACTTATTGTTATCTCAAAAAAGAAAAAAAAATTGTGTTTAACTTATTGAAGTGGATAAAATAAATTGTTCTTCAAATAGTTGAATCGTTATTCATTGACCTAGGTACACATAATATGATCCACTTGGATTTAGTCTATTAGTTATTAAAAATCTTGATAAAGTTCCAAGTTTTTTTTAATTGGCGGTTCTTTGAATGAGTGCATTACTATAAATAAGGTCAAAACAAATTCTTTTCTCTCCACCAATTGGCACATGTATAGATAATTTCGTCCTTATCTTTTTTTTTTATGTGATTTTTTATTCACAGTGTCCGCGTACATTCAATTTATAATTAACCGCAAAATGGGCCTCCCATGTGATTCGAGCTGTAAAAGAATACCTACTTTTAGTTTAATAACCAGTTGGCCTAGCTCTTAGATTTTCTAAACTCAAGTGTTCATTAATTTATATACTGATATTGGAATAATTAACTAAAATATGAGAGATGGCTGCTAACTGTTTACAAGCTAATCAAGGGCCCGTTTAGTTCACTGATTTGAGTTGAGACGTGATTTTATATGAGAGCTTTTTACTGTAGCAAAAAAATTAGATGTGATTATTTGTAAGAGCTTTTTACTGTAATAAAACTCAAATTCTAAACTCGAATCAGCGAAATGAACGGGGCCTAAGTAAATGTCAATGGCCTCTTTAAGCATTTTGAACATGATTTTTTTAATCTCTCTCTCTTTTTCTCTCATTAGACCAAACTAAACTAATTTGATTAATTCAACCCAGTGGAAATTACATACATTGAATAAAATACATCCAATTGGTGGGAAATTGTTGTGCTTTAATTAATAAAAGAAACCGTAGTAAAATGGGAGTCATAACCTCACACCATATATATAAAAAAAAAAAAAAAAAAAAAACATGAAATTACATTCATCATATCACATACATGATATTTCATATAATCAATCATACATGTACATAGAATGCACAAATTCGTGGTTAAATTTCAGTTGACAATAAGACTCATGAATATTATTTACCAATTGTGAGAGTCCCAAATTGAGATAGTAATTAATCAATTTGTTATTGTTCATGTGTAATGTGACACACTTAAAAAGGGAGTAGTTGCAAGAAATCAGTTACTTGTCACTGAATTTCGAGACAATATAAGTTCTCATAGGCCATATATTATAATAGGAGCACTTCACAATTGCCTAAACCTTATTATGTTGTGTAATAGCAAACATTATTTCTATTCATCACAAACCTTTGTCGTTTTCTCAATGTCAATTTCAAATCGCTTGTCGGTTTGCTTGATCATCACGTAATTATTTGTGCTAATCTAAGGTGGAAGTGATTTTTGTCCAAGCTATATGATAAACTATAGATAAGGTCAAAACAAGCTCTTTTCTCTCCACTAATTAACGAAAGTTTGTATACGTAGCGATAACGTAGTTTATTAGAATTATGAGTCTATATATGAGAAGATCTGAGCTAAACCTGGATCTATCAAAATACTTTTCTTTTCCCTTCTTTTCAATGTTTCGTGTTTGTCGTTTACGAAATGAAAGATGTATAGATATTTGAGCCATTCACCACAGAATGGCCAATTGCCTTATCAAGAACAAAAGTACAGATAATAGACTTATTAGTCACTTAGAATAGAGTTATGGTTGTACTTCTCTCAACTAATTAGCAAAATAATAATAATAATAACAACAATAATACTAATTTTCACTAAAAAAAATAGAATTTAATTATATGTTTTCTTATTAAAAAAAGAATTTATATGTTATATATGCATAGATACATATATATACATATGTTTATGGTTCCCTAATATATATATCTATAAATATTGATGGTGTATTAATAATTAATGTCCTTGTTGCGTGAAGCGTTAAAACGGATTAATGCCCTAATATATGAATTTTCTAATGTTATTTATCTCATGCTGAGACCTTAAACTATCACGAAGAAGAACAGGGAGAACTAGAAGAATTGGAGAGAAAATGAATATTTTCTATTATTCATCAATCTGAATATTGGTTGTGTATTTATATACACGGTTACAAAGGAAAAATAATGTAACTACTTCTTTAACTAAGTATACACGTCAGCAAAACTTGTAAGACAAGCTAAAATACTGAAATAACCAACTTGATTTAATACTCTCCCTCAAGTTGGACTATAAATATCCTTTATAGCCATCTTGGATAAGAGAGGAAATAGTAAGGACGGTGACAGTGACTTAGTAAAAATGTCAGCAAGCTGGTGTTGGGAGCGAACTGGCAAGAGCTTGATGACTCCATCAGTGAGTTTGTCTCGAATAAAATGACAATCAATTTCAATATGCTTGGTGCGCTCATGAAAAACATGATTGGAGGCAATATGAATGGCTGCTTGATTATTGCAAAAAAGAACAGCTGGAACAGAAGATCTGCCATCAACTGCTTCAACCAGACAAGTTCACTGACAGTAGCAGCTAAGGCCCGATACTCAGCTTCAACAGAAGATCTAGAAACAGTTGTTTGTTTCTTGGATTTCCAGGAAATTAAGGAGTCACCTAAGAACACACAAAAACCAGTAATGGATTTGCGTGAATCCAAGCAGGCAACCTAATCAGCATCAGACTAAGCCTTCAACTAAAGGGAAGAAGAAGAGAAAAACAGTCATTGACCAGGCTTGGATTTGAGGTACCGTAATAAGTGATGAGTAGCTTGAAGATGAGGAACTCGAGGATGAGACAAAAATTAACTAAGATTATGAATAGCGAAGGCGATGTCAGGCCTTAAAAGAGTAACATAAAGTAATCTACCAATGAGTCTTTGATGTTGAGAAGCATCTTCAAGAAGGTCTCCAGCACTAGATGTGAGCTGCAATTAGTGCTGAAACTTTGGACGGGCCGCCTGCGACTAGCCAAAAATACCGAGTTTTTGCCCGAGCCCGAGCCCGACCCGCCCGAAAAATTTGGGCCGCCTGCTTGAGCCCAAAAAGGCCCTTGAACGGGCCGCGGGCTAATATTTGGCTGCCCGAACCCGGCCGGGCCGCCCGAATAGCCCGAAATTTTTTTTAATATTTTTTAATTTTTATAATTATTAAGTTAGTTTGTGTTAAAATTATATAAAAATCAAAATCAACATTCAACGGACATTATTAACACAATTGAATAAATTAATCAGGTATATTAATGATGTATATTACATTCGTAATTCATGATTGTCTCGTTAAAAACCTTACCAAGAAAAACCCAATTGGAATAAAAACTTGGCAAGGAAAAAAGAGTGCAATCATTTTGTGAC